TTTCTGGAAAACTACTTTGGAGAAAGACATCTCTTCATTTTGTGAATTTAGCTAAAGAGGGACTGGAATGGAGTTGACATCAGCATGGACATCATCAGTGGTATTTAGATTTCATATTTACCACAATTCTTTTTAATAGTATGATATTATTTAACATTCAGGTGATTTGAATAAATTGGCATTGTCTTGGGGAAAGTTATATGCTCAAGCATGCATTACATACAAATTGTGTGTTCATACTTCACAGGAGTATGTATTTTGCATACCTTTATCAACTATCATTCACCTCTTTTTGTATATAAAACACACATCTCTCAGTTTCCTAAAAGAATGTCAAAAGAGATGATGGTTTTTCTTTTGGAGCATATGAGCATATTATTTCAGAAACGTCTTCACTTTTTTGGAATAATTGATCTCTGTGGAAAAGCAATTCTCTACTCGGTCCAATACGGCTATATTTCATTTTAAGATTAATATTTCCTGAACTGTTTTAACAAAGGTTAATCATAGTAACCTAGAGAACATAACCAAAAACAGTAGAAAAAGAACCAAATGTGTAAGACCGAATTCTCCTAACACAAATATTTCAAGGTATGTGTTACACATATTTTTACAGATTTCATAGGCACATATGATGAGATAGATGCCTCTCTAAAAACATGAACGATTATCTGAAAGAGGTGTTCTGGATCTGTTATGAAAAAAAAAAAAGCTAGTAATATATAGAAAGCTATAACCATGTATTTGCTTTTTTTTCTCAATGATATATCTGTAATGCTTATATAAATGTTTATTTTTTACAATATGAAAAACACTATGTAAAAACCAATTTCCCCACCTCAAATGTAAAAATATAAAATATGTTTAGAGACAGTTAATGCCATATGCCAATAGCTCTTCTTGAATCCTCTGCTTTGCAATCAATAATTCTCCAACCATTAGTGAATATGCTCCATGACTCATCAGAAACAATACACAAAGTTAATGGGGATCATTCTTCCCCTCACCCTCCACACACGCACTGACACTAATGGAAGCTATGCTTCATATAGCGGAAGACAGATTCAAGATGGCACCAAGCCGAAAGGCAACTCTTCTTGAGGCCCTGTATACAATCTAACTCCTCCCCACAAAGAATCCACGACATCCATCTTACATTTTTTGGCATCCTTCAAGAAAATAATAGTAAGCATACTTTATATGGCTAGAAAAGAACCACATTTTTTTCAGCTTAACACTCACTGTGAATGGCAAAATGTACTTCAGTTACGAAAATATCTGAAAGGAATGTTTCCAGGACCTATGCCATTGTGCTTTGTTTACCAGTCAGATGCTTTCTCAAGAATGTGTTCAAATTATAAAGACAGTATCTCCATGTATAGAAACTCTTCAGAGCCCATGTTACAGTAGAAACACATTTTTACCTTTGCTAATATTCAAAACAATACCCTCCTATCTGCAAGTAAAAATCTTTCATTCTTATGAATTCAGCAATCTTTTATTAACATCTGCTCAGGACTTTGGATTTGTTTTTTTTTTTTTTTAATTTTCTAAAGAAAGTTCTAGTAAAAGAAAACACATATTAAGTATTTGAAGATAATTGCTATTTACTAAAAACTCTATTTTAAAATAATTTTAGTGACTCGTTTATGTTTTGTAACTTCAGGACAATGGTAACTACAGTGTCTCTAAAATGTTCCTAAGTAACAATCATACTCTATTTTGGCCTTTGAGAGGTGTTAAGACTCATTCTCTAATTATAAGTCTTTCTCTATTATTACTACCTCACCATCAAATCTCTAAACTAAATAGCAGCTTTGAGGAAATAAAAATAGATGTTAGGTGGTGTGTTTTCTCAAATTTTGGTTACAATGGATAAGAAAGACAAGGTATTTCTACATATAATAAAATAAGCCAATTTGATTGTTTTGACCAGCAAACTCTTTAAGCTTTCTCCCAGAATATTGTTTTTCTGCTTTATCCTAGAACAACACTGTTCAAAATAAGTACGATGTTAGCCATATTTGTTATATTAAGTTTTCTAGACATCATGAAAGAAAGAGAGAGAGAGAGAACAGGTGAAGTTTAATCTAGTAAGATCTTCTATTAGAACCAATATATCAAAAATTATCATTAAACATATCATAAATATAAAAACATTAATCAGATGTTTTACATCATATAAAGTTTTCAAAACCCAGCAGTATTTTACACTTCTCAATCTGGACTAGACACATTTCAAGTGCTCAACAGCCGCATGTGGCTACTGTACTGGACAGCACATTCTAGATTTCCAAACATATGAAGCTTTTTGGCCTAAAAGACCATATACTTTAAAATCTTCCTATGTCACATTCTCTATGATCCATATTGTTGGGATTTTATTTTGAGCCAATCACTTCATGAACCTATTTCACTTCTTTCCTCCACTCTCTTGACTCTCATATCTACCACCCACCCTAATGCCTTTGCTTACAGAATTTTAAAAACCCAATCACCTATTCTTTTCAGCTTCTTCTAAGCAATACCTGAGATGTTCTCTAATCTGCACATCTAACACCAAGCAGAAAGCCAGAAGGTGCAGCAAGATTATTTATTCTCTGTTTCCATAAATAGATCAATCAAATACAGCCCTAATGTATGGCAACAGTGACAAATGGAGGGGCGTTTTTTTCTTATAATGAAGATAAGGCACTTTATATAATAAAGTAGCACACCCTTCTTCAATGAGAAATAAAACTTTCAATGAGAAATATAATTTTACTTTTTCTCCCAGGAGAAATTTTGGGTTAGTCTGTTCTTGTTCTGGAACAAAACCCAGTGTTTCATTTCATAGGAATTCTGTGCCCAAAGGAAGAACAGAATGTTGGAATCAAAATTTAATGAATTCAACTTGGAGTCTAACTTTGCCTCAAATGTGGAAATGTAAACACAAGCAATAATATCTCAAACCATGTAACACTTCAGTTTCTCTTTGGCATGACTGCACAGAGAACCACACTTGATGTGTAGCTACACACAAATTTGTTCATAGTTATATAAGGAAAAAATTAAACTAGGCATATGTGAGGTTTTTCTGAGTCTCTTAGTAATAATGAAATCTGATTATTATGTCTTAAGTGATACTATAATTATAGATGAACAGGTTTTCTGTTGCTGACCCAACCTGTTCTTAAAACACAAAAGGCAACTTTTGTAGTCTTCAGCAAGGAAACCCCCCGTTAAACTAATAAGACTAAAAAACCTATGCCGACATTTTCAAAGAAGATCTAACAATATAATAATAATAAAGTAACTCCCATGCAAATACACAAAACAGATAAAAACTAGAACATTAGGTTTTCCTAAAAAGTTGAGCCGTAGTTGTCACCAACTTTAAGAAAGCAAGATACAAATGACAGCGATGTGCATTCTCAGGCTACAAAATAACTTATTCAGTGCCTCTATCTATAACTACATCTAAGACAGTCTAAGTATTGAACTGCACTTTCCTGGGATAAATTTTACAGTCGTTGAACTTTCATTTTCTGTCTGGGTGATAATATTTTATCTCAACAGCAAGGAGAAACACCAACACACTTAGGAACCCACACAGAAAGATAACTGTGGAGTGGCTCTCTTATGCTGGTATAGAATACTTATGTACTAAACACCCTCTGTGTATAAACAGACACTGTGTTCAAACCCAGGAGGAAGGGACACAGTGTCCACCGGTGTAGTATTTCAAAGCACGTTGCACAGGGCCCGAAAGTCTAAAAGCATTAATTATGACTTCTCTCCTAGCGTATTAATTTAAGAAATTCCTCAGAGTATATGGCAGAGTTTGCCATCCATCTGCTATGACTTGTGCCTGTGCTGGTGGGCACACAAAGTAAAGTCAGCGGCAACAACCTTTCTGGCAGCTTCTTAATTTTAATCCTGGGTGGACATACTCCACGGAAATACACCCCAGAATCCCAACAGCCGCATACTCTCTCGGTCCCAGAGAGCCCTAAGAACACAATATTAGTCTGGTAGCAACACCCCTGTAGTTGTAAAGTGCTGTGCGAGAGGAAGGCATAAGCGCCACCATATACCTGCTCGTGTTACTGGCTCTCGAATCAAAGTATTCTCACATGACACATTACTACCAATAACAGATTCCGGCTCCGTTTAAAAAAAAAAAAAGTGGGGGGGGGGCTACATATTTGTCCTGCTTTTGTCTAAAAACCAGAACCCAAGTACTAACTACTTTTCATTCTTTTCAACCTTTCATGAAAGCAATTCAATCAAACAACTGCGGCTCCACCCAAAGAGCTTCTATACTTACTTTTCTTACAGTTTTTGAGTGACGCACTGCAAAACGATGAAAAAAAAGAAGAAGAAAAGGAGGAGGCAGCCCTCTCCTGCAGGGCGTCTTCCGCCCTGTAAACTTGGCAAAAGGCAAACTGGCCTGAAATACAGCACTCTCCATATAAGGCAGCCCAGCTAAACATGTCATGCGTAATTTATGGGTAGCAGGCAGAGAATTAACCTTTGCGTGCACATATTTGGCCCAGATGAAAACCGGGCGGGATGGCAGCCCCGGGGCCAGGGATGCGGGAGCCGCCGGGAGGACCCGCGCGCCGCTCGCCTCGGAGGGACTCGCACCTTCCCCCGACAAAGATCATTAAGTTGTGAGTACACTTGCACGCACCTGTTTCCCTTCTCGCCCCACTGTTTCTCCCTGGGTCCCGCTGGGTTGCCAAGCCGTGCGCCGGCTGCGCCGTGACAGCGTCCGCAGAGCCCACGGCGGGGAAGGGCGCAGGAGCGGCTGCGGCTCACCCTCCCGCCTTCCCCCGGGCAGGAGGTGCTGAGGGACGCGAAACCAACCACCGGGCGCGGCCCGCCCCTGCCCGGGAGAACCGCGGCCGGCGAGCACCTCCTCGCACTTCCTCCTTCAACCACCGGCAGCCCCGCCGGAGTCCGAACAATGAAGCGCGGCGGACCAGCGCGGGGAAACTGTGAAAATGGAAACTTACCTCTCACATTTTTTTTTCAGAGGCGGCCCGACTGTCGACCGAATGCCCAAGGCATTGTGGGAGTCATGATTCCAAGATGCCCGCGACGGAAAATGGAACTTGTCAGCTCCTTGTCACGGGAGCATTGTGGGCGCTACAACTCACTCAGCTGCAGTGAAAAGACTGTTGCATGTCTCTGTGCAGCCTCTTATCGCGGAGGTCTGGCTTCCGCTGCTGCTGCGCGGCCCCTCCCCCGCCCGCCCAGCCCCACCAGGAAGCCCAGGGCGGACTCGTGGAGCTCCTAATGCACGCGGCGGCGAGGAAAACGCTCTTCAACTTTCGGCTGGCGCCCTCCCGCGCTTCCCCGGGCCCCAGGGTCGCCTGTCAACCGGACAGAGTCCGCAAGGGCGGGTGATGGGTGCTTGCCCCGCGGCGCCGAGAGCAGGAGGAAGCTGGAGCCCGCGCGGGCGCCGTGGATCCCCTCGGCCTCCCGTTGGTATCTTCCATCTCATGCGTTCAACATTGTAACCTCGCGGCGGGCGTGCAGACCGGACGCCCTCCAGCTACTTACTTCTACCGACTAGCTCGACACACCAGTGGGTTCGTTTTGAAAGAGGCCCTTGCACCGGGCTTTACAAGGAAGCCGGCAAGGTTAGATTGAAGGTTAGAAGCCGATTAGACTAGAATCCTGCGATCTGGTGAGACTGCCGCCTTAAAATGCACCAAACAGTTTTTGAACCTGGAGGGCTAACAGGCGGGAAAAACATCTTCAAGATTGCCACTGTACAGCCTGTCCAGTTTTGGAAATCCTTAGTGAAACTGTCACACAAGCACAAACACTCATATGTCAGCTTTCCTTCTACTTTGTAAATAATATTTGTAATTTACAAGCCACTCTATTTCCAACTTTACACCATGTGATTTAGAGAAAGCAAAGCTCCCTCTTTAAAAATAATACATTACTTTCTGAAATACCGCGATATTCCACAGCAAGTAAGCCATATTGTCGCTAGAGCAAATAAACCACAGCCCCACATCATAATTCACTGGGTGCTGTAAGATGTAACTTGGCTTCGCTTTGAATGGAAAGAATGCTGAACGTCTGTGATGTGATGAAGTTTTGGAGATTGGGGGCAGGATTTCCTTTGAATGTAAGGAATTCGGATAACTTGTGCAACGAAGATTCTAATGAAAAACGTTTGTCCCATGTTTGGGACACAATTTGGGACAAAAATGCTGGATATGGTACAACATTCTTCCTGCAGGTTAGGTTGTGTTGAAGAAAGTGAGGCCAGCTCGCGGTGAAGGAAAAACATCAGAAAGGTGCTAAAGTGCAGAAATACCTTCCAGAGGCACTAACAGCCGACTTGAGTTCTTGACCTTTAGCTAGATCCACAAAGCACTGAGTTAAAATTGTACACTGAGCCCTTCCAGAACAAATAATTAATTAAATGGTGCCTCTTCCCAGCGTTAATCGTTTAAAAGGACTCAAGTCCCCACACAGTTTTAGCAAACTAAAAGAACACTGACACTTTCTCAGAGAACAGGAATGGGAACTTTCTATCTGCCCATTAGTAACTACCCCAAGCTATGAAGACTTCCATTCCTCTTACTAAGCATTCAGCAACTACATTTAATGCCTACTATGCCAGTGATGCAAGAATGGATAAGACAGTCCCTACACTCAAGGATAACACCTCTACTAGGTGAGAGACAAACCAATTAATTCTGCATAAGGGATAAGTGCTATGATGTTGGAAGCAATCCCACGAGGGCTCTGAGGATGGTGAAGGAAGGGTTCCTGGAGGATTTACATTTAACTGGTGCCTTGAAAGATGTGTAGAAGTTGGCAATATCAAAAGGGAGTAGAGTCCAGGTGGAGAAAAGAAAAGAGCAGGACAGGCTGGATGGCGTGGCTCACACCTGTAATCCCAGCACTTTGGGAGGCCATGGAGGGTGGATAGCTTGAGGCCAGGAGTTTGAGACCAGCCTGGGTGACATTAAAAGACCCTGTCTCAAAGAAAATGAAAAGAGTAGGGTATACACAAGGGGCCTGCCAGCCTTCTCAGCCTTTCTATGAGAAGCGAGGGGAGGGTAGTACAGGAAAGTGGCAGGAGATGACGCGAAAAGTAGGTCTGTGTTAATCTAACAAGTCTCAACTTTACTGTCAAAACTAATGAGCTAGAAAAGTTTAGGCAGCAAGGGCCAGAGATGGAGTCTAGACTTGTATTGCAGAAAGTTCCTGTGACGGCAGCTTGGAGGGTGAATGAGAGTGTGGGATGGAGGGGTGAATGGGTGTGGACAGACTGGAAAAATGACTCATGCAGGGAATGAGGAAGGGAGGAGCCTTGGGAGACTCTCAAATCCCTGGCTTAGCCTACTGAATTGCTTACTACTTGCCTTTTAATGTCTTCATTTTGCCTCCCATTGTCTATGATATTAAAGGCCTAACTTCTTAGTAGAGCAACCTTTGCATCTGCTAGCAGGTTGGTGTCCTAGCTGGCTTCCATGCCCCTCTGCTTAGAATGCCTGCAAACCACTAAGGACTAATCCTGGTGGTAGAAATTTATTTTCAATTGTTCTCAAACCCTTGTAGAATTCCAAGTTAGAACTGTGGTGTTCTTTTATCATGTGGGTTAGAAAATTTGCTGTTTGGAGCAACATGGTGAAACAAAGGACTTTTGAACCTGTTTATGGTGCAAAAGGGGAAATTATGTTTCTACTTCAACACTGAAGGAGGGGGGAACTTCTGGGAGCAAAAGAGAAATTGAAACTGAGATGAGACATGTTTTTTGCTCCATGACAGAATACAAAGAAATACAAGGATGATCCTTTAATGTTAGAAACAGTAGAATAACCATCCTGGTAAATAAAAAAGAAGAGAAAAACATGTTATTTTACATTAGATACAGAGAAAAACATGGCTAAGAAAACTCATAAAGCAATGGTCAATCTATAACTCAAAATGAGTCCAAATAAATTGTGATATAAAGCTACATTACCACTGATTTGGCCTAATTTACTATCATTGATAACATAACATGAATGATAATATTTAAAATATTAAAGCACTGTAACAGACACCAGATCATATGTTAAAACTATTAAATCATGGTGTCAGCTTTCAACTGCCAGTAACATCTTAACCACATTTCAAACTATGGAAAGTACTAAAAAATCATTATAGTAATAAAAAGTTAATAGTTCCTCATTTAGAATACCATTGATATCCCCTCAGTGCCAGGAGAACATTATAGTTACTCCTATTTCTGTGAAGTGTATAGTCCACAGGTTCATAAGTGAGTATATCCGTGAGTATAAAAAGAAGGTCATTTGTGGGTGGAGAGGGAAATTATAGAAAACAATTTCAGGTAAAATAAACTACATTTTCAGATAAAGGAAAGAGTGTTCACTACAGGTTCCTGAAATATTTCAGTCCATTCAAGTTTTAATTATACCAATGAATCTCAAGAGAAATACAGTTAAGGGATATGGTTTTTATAGATAATATCAGCTCCTTGTTTACCAATAATAAAGATAAAGATAATGGCAGCATTTATCTTTTTCAGTCCAATGGGGATATTTAAGGTAACTATGTAAGTGTGTGAGTGCCTGTGTGAATTGTGACTTACTTCTTCTGCATACCGCATTCATAGCTCAGTAAGCTCTCACTGCCTCTGCAATATAACTTGTCTTTCCTGACACACACACACACACACACACACACTCTTACCCACACAAATCACCTAAATAAAAATATCTCAAGGAGGTATACCCTTTTAAAATGATATTTTTATTATACCAGGATAAAAATAATTGATTGAAAGATGGTGTCAAAACCAGAACCTAGTCTCATGTCCTGTGCTTCCTAACCAATATTTAAATATAGATAGTCAAGAGAAGATGACTCTAAAAGGCAATCAAAAGTTGCAAACATTCTTGTATGGAGAATCAAGTTTAAGTAGATGCATTAAATGTATCACATTAAACTTCACAACAGGGTTGAGGAGAGAGGTGAGACCTTTTGTAGAATTCAAACTTGTTCAGATATTTGAATAAATATACTTGAGAAAAAGAATTACATGAATTTAGTTTATCTTCAAAGACCTTTATATATTTTGTACACAACACAATTTCTTTGTGCTCACTATTTAAAAATAAAAATATTTATTCTAATAGATACTGTGTATATATTTGATATATATACAATATTATATATACATGTTATAATATACATATATGTATACATAATATACAATATATGTATAACATATGGCACATGAATGTGAAAATATATAAAATCAGTATCTTTGCTACTAAATGTTTGTAAAATTTAAAACAGTTAAATATTATGCATTTCTCAAGTTATTTTACCTAAAAGTTGAATCTATATATTCAATATCATTATTTTGGGATTTGGCAATAGAGAGACAGTAAGCAAATACATTTTGAAATTAAAAGTTCAAAATTATAGAATTTTAGCATTGAATGGAATGTTAAAGAGCATCTGGCCTTGTTCCCTTGTTAAACCAGAGGAGTGCATTATATAAGGAACTTGGCACCATGGCAGAGCAGAACTGACATCAGTGTCTTCTGACTCTCTCAGGCCATTCATTTTCATTGTCTTTTTTTTTCTTAAAGACAATGAGGCCAAGAAGCAGCTCTAAAATAGGCCTAACAGTTCCCCCAGTTTAATGTGAGGAGGTGCTACATTAGATTTCCAAGAGTATAGTTCTTCCTTCCTCTGTTTCTTCCTTCTTTCCTTTTTTCCTTGTTTTATTCTTTCTATTTTTTCATCCCTCCTTTCTTCTTTCCATAGAGAAAACACCTTTCACACAATGACTCTATTCATTTCACAAACATTTATTGAGCATCAGCCATGGCTAACTCCTATTCTAGGTACTGTGGTTCCAGAAATGAACAACACAGATAAATCACTTCCCTCAAAGGGGTTGCATTCTACTAGGGGGAGAGAAGCAACAAAAAATAAGTCAAAAATAAAAAATAAAAGATAAATAATGAGGTAATTTCAGATGGAGATAAGCGCTATGAAATAAAATAAAGCAGGTTAGGGGGATTTGGGAGAGGAGGTTGTGTGAAACAGGATGGAGGACTGAGCTGGTCATATGCAGGCAAGGTTCTCAGCGAAGTGAGGAATAACTGGGGAAAGAGCATTCAAAGCAGTGGGACTGCATGGCAAGAGCCCTAAGGCCTGAGTTCACCACAGGGCTAGAGAGCCCTATGGTGAACAAAAACGACCTAACCTCAAGGAGCTTACAGTTAAGAAAGAGGGAAAAAATGAATCTCAATCAAATTCATCACGCTCAAAATGCAAAGCTACAGCCATGATACTTTTCCTCACTGGGAACCATTGACATGTTTGATTATGTTAGAGGCAAGGGTCGGGGTGGGGTGATGGAACGTTATCTAAATTTGGTTTTCACAAAGATAACTGGATAACTCTTGACTGCTGTGTAAAGGCTGATAGTCTAATCTCAGAACAGAATGCATGACGTGCACCACTGCTGGGAATGAGAGCAAACCAAAAGTGGGCTCTGTCTAGGAGGGCAACGGGCAGCAAATGGCTGGGGACCCAGCAGCAGAATGTGATTTGGTTGAAGACCCTCAGCAATGGGGTACAACAAACATTA